CATTATACCCCCCTTTAATAGCAATCTTCCATAGATTCAAATCAGGGATGCTCCGCTGCACTAATTGCTGTGTGTTAGGTGAGCATCATGGATTGAAAAAAATTAATAAAATAAAATCCCTTCAGGCCATTCCCCTTGAAGAGCAAAGCTCTAACTACAATTCTAACTCCAAATGTTACAAAAATGCAAACATGAACTTCAGTAGGGGATTTCTGAAGTTACCATGTTGTCATTTTAAGTTGGATTATTGCCCCATCTTTTGTTTGTTTGCTTGTTTAAAGCACTAATATGCTCAGTCATCCTGTCTCAGATTAGCTTAACTAGACCTGGCCTAGTACTCCAAGCCTGGAAACCATGGCAGCTATAAGATTTAAATAACCATCCTGCCATGATTCTTTGCCAAGAGTTCAATTTTTTTCTCCTAATTATTGGTGATAAAATATCACATTAATTGTATATCACTTAATTTATAGCAATTAATGATTGATTGGATAATCACTGCATTAATTATTGTTCAGTTGTTGACACTGGGGGCTCTTCAGTCTACAGCACACACTTTCAAATCCACACTGCTGAAAGAGAACAAGCGATCACTTTCACGTTTTAAAAGAGAAAACCACAGAGTTGGATGGTGGAAATGGCTGTGCATTAGGCTCTGCTTCAAAGACCTTTCCTGCACGCTCCAGGGACCCAGAGGAGCACTTCACACTTGCCTTGAGTAGATGTGACTCTCAAGTGTCTACCAAGGGCTTGTCCATGTGCCACCACAGCCCATCATGGAACCCAGGTTGCGGCTGATGGGTGTCACTTGTCTGTGTTTTCAAGGGGAGGCATCCAAGCCTCCCAGAGGCCAAGGTCATTCACTAACTGGTGGGCTTCCTGACTCCAAACCTATAGAGGTCTTTCCATTTCACCAACCTGCTTTCAGACTGAGCATCACACTGTCTTACTATGAGGCACATTCATGGCTGACAGCCCCATTCAAGCTGAACGTACAGGTGGTGGTCATGTTACTGTTTTCCACTGCACCACTTTAGAAGAGTGAGTGTTACTCTCTACACTCAGAATGGGAGTAAAAACTGGATCAAACAGTTAGACTGAAAAAGCATTCTTGGAGAGGAGTATAGCAAACTTAGCACTCTATATTAGAATGTATGGAAGAGCCCCTATGCAAACCCAAACCCATCTGTATGCCTTCTGGCAACTTGCTAGAGCTCTCTGGGACTCCACTTACTTATCTGGAAAATGGTGGAAAGGGGAACAAGGGAGTGGGTCCTTCCAGTATCTATTGTATTTCACAGAGTAGGAGGTGAGAATCAAATGAAATAATGTATATAAGGCAGTGCTGCCTAACTCTTCCTCACAAAGCAGGACACACAGAAAACAATGGCAAGTTAGTATCAGCAGATGAAGCTGCACCTGCCTCTGGCCTGAGCATGGCCCCCTGCTTCCAGGGGCCAACCCAAGGGCGGTGGAGATGGGTACCCGCGAGCCATTCACCGGCTGGGCATGAGCTGGAGACCGGTGCCTGCCTCACAGTTACAGCTTAATGTAGCCTGAGGAGTACCTGGAAAGTACCAGGAGAACTGGGACACAGTCTTTCAGGGTTAGTTTTGCTCCTCCTGAGTATCTGTATGGCTGATATGCTAGCTGCTAGCCACAGGCTGTTGAAATTTAAGTTCACTGAAATGAAATAAAATGTAAAGTTGAGCTAGCTCCTCTGTGGTACTAGCTATGTGTCAAATACTCAACAGCCATAGGTGGCCAGTGGCTGCTGTATCATACAGTGCAGACGCAGAGCAGCTTTATCGGCACAGAAGCTCCGCGCCACAGCACTGATCTACGTAACCCTGCCTGATGACTGGGCATTCCTGCGGAGTGTTACACTCCCTGAAGGCAAGGTTCATAATCTCAAGGAAACTGTGATCGGTGGGACCCTGCTCAGCGCCCCGCACATGGTAGGGACCCAACCACTGACTATGGGATTGACGCTCCCGTGATTCAAGTCACTCTCCTGCTTGTCTTGCTGCCGCTCAAGGTAAAAGACCTGATTCCTCAAGGAAAGAAGCGCAACAGACATCAAAAAGGAAATCAGGAGTCCCATCCCAAAGTAAAATAACAAATTTTAGTAAAGATTATCCGTTCCTGCACAAACCCTTGAATTACATAATCAATAGCTGAGAAAATGCCAATTATCCAGACCCATTTCAAATATGACTAATCTGCATCCTGAGCAGCCATTAATCAACAGGACAAATTGTGAAATCGCTACTTATTTATTTGCTGGGAGGAAGCACTCCCCATCACATTTAATCAGAGAGGAACAGCTCAATTTAGGAAGTAAATGGAATGAACAGACATTTTTTATAAAATACTAAGGATCCCAAAGAAAGCTCAGAAGAGGCTGCTGGTGCTGATTCCAAGATCAAATTGGCCCAAAGCACCTTAATAATGCCTGTCATTACACACGCAAACAACAGAGACAGTATTATGCTTCAGGTCAAGAAAGAATTGTTTGCAGGAGTCATGGAAGAATTTTCCCTTCTTTCTTTGCTTCTATGCAACTGGCAACATGCATCTCTGAGTTATTCATTCTCTCTCTGTCTTAGAGATAAAGATTAAGTATGGCCTGTTGCTTGAATGACTGAATGAGAAAGTAGAGTCTTATTAAAGACACTGGCATTTCTCAGTGCTTATTTCAAGTCTTCATATAGTCTCATGACTTCCTGGCACTGTCCACCAGTACTGTGAAGACATATTCCTATTGAATTACAAACACTATGTTGTTTGTTGTTCAGTCGCTAGGTCATGTCCCACTCTTTGCACCCCACAAACTGCAGCATTCCAGGCTTCCCCATCCTTCACCATCTGGAGTTTGCACAAACTCATGTCCATTGAGTCGCTGATGCCATCCAACCATCTCATCCTCTGTCTCCTCCTGCCATCAATCACTCTGAATGATTTAATGGAACTGCCCTCAACAAAGTTTACCCTAACCTTGTCTAAGGATAAGAGAAGCACATACCAAGTGCCTGCCTGGCACACAGTAGGAGCTTTGCAAATGGTTCTGTTCTCTCAGGGTCCTTTGCTCACAGAATGCAGGAAGCATGCACCACCTACCGTTTGCACAAGCCCACTAAATCCTATGTTACTTCCCCCAGCTTCTCAAAGCAACTGCCTGCCAACAGTTCTACATTTAAATGGGAGGATCCGAAGAGGAAGTGCCACTGGGTTTCCTCATCTTATTTAACTAAACTACAAATGAAACCAAAAAAACCCCTCATGCCAGGCACTGTTCCAAGCTTCCCAGATTCAAGTAACCCTCAGAGCAATGCTATGGAAATAGGGTTTTTTTTTAATGCCTATCTCACAGGAGAAAACTGAGGAACAGAGAGGTACCTAGAGCAAGGTCACTGAGTCAGAGCATCCCAGGGGCAGGACTGGAAACCAGGCACCCAGATCGTGAAAACAAAGGATGGACTGGCCTGGACAGTAACTCAGACTTCAGACTATGTCTGCAAAACCCCCTAACCCAGCTCACTTCCTCCAGGCAGATGTGTGTTCTACGCTGCTGTCGGCCAAGTCTGTGTGAACTCAGAGTCTGGGATCCTGATCCCTGGGAGGCACACAGGACAACCCTCCCCCGCATGCTTAGGGCCTTTGAATGTGGAAGCCCATCCCCTCGTCCCTGGTCCTACCTTCCAGCTCGTCCTAGGGGGCTTGCCCTGGCCCTTGGCTTTTGCTCGAGCACAGGCCTCTGGATACCACGGTGCCCAGTGCAAAGGGGGATGATGTGCAGCATGGAAGGGAAAGCCCGCCCAGGAAAATAGGACAGTGAGACATCCCTCTCAATACCTAGATGCTGTCACACTCAAATTTCTCTTTGCTAGGCTGAACAGCCCTGATTTCTTCAGCCTCTTCTCAGGCAGTATTGCTCAGCTTTCAGTCATTTTCATTGCTCTCCCCTGGCCTCCCTCCAAGATTCTGTATCTTGTTTAAATAGTAAAGGCCAACACTGAACGTGATTTAAGAACAGTCATGCCTGGAAAAGTAACAAAGGCCCAACCAATACGAACTCCAGAAGGCAAATATTTTCTCAAAAGAAAAAAAAATCGAAGTATAACAATATTAATAATGGAAGGCAGTAAGAACCAGGTTGACCAAAGACAATGATTTCTGTGGCTTGTCATATCACTTCCTCTAATTACGGTGGTGTTTCTGGGAGACGTCTCTGGCCTGATAAGTCTTCTCAGAAACCATCTGCTCCTCCTCAAAAAAGAACCCAAGATTTTCCTCTAAGTCTCCCCAAGTCTCTCCCTTGATACAGAAAGCCTATCATCCTGAGAGAAGGATACTCCCCACTTTTCTCAACCCCACCTTTTCCAGAAATAGCACTTCCTTTCCTAACTTCTTCCATTTCCTCTGCTTTTGCTTAGACGTCCCCCTGCCTCACCGCTCCATCTGCCTCCCCTTTGGGCCAAGGCAGGACACCAGGGATACAAAGAGGCTGCCTGGGACCCCAAATGCAGGATGAAGCCCACCCTCCACACTGCTGACTCCTTAGAGACTTGGGGGTGACCCTGATCAAGTTCCACGTGGCAAGTCCTTTCACTGGGTTCGCGAAACCCAGTGGGACAGGGCCCCAGACCTTCCATGGAGAAAGAATCACACCAAGGGCAAAAACAACAACAGGGAGGAGGTGCTAAGGAAATGTGACCCCAAAACAGCAGCCCCCAGGACAGCGCCAGACACCTGGATGCCTGCTCAATCAGTAAGCTGGCTTTGTGGCCGACTGAAGCAACTTTTAAAATTGCTTAATATAAAGTAATAGGAGAAGGAAGGTGACCACTGCAACAAAGCAAGAATGTAATCTGTCTCCCACCCGCAGAAAACCAGCCAAGCCATTCCGAGTGGACTGAGGCTGCGCCTGCCCCCTGGCCTGTTTGCCTCCCTCCTCCAGGAGGGAAACAGGGGGGCTGGAGGGCAGCCATACACACTACCTGTCCACTTGCTCTGGTCCTTCTCGCCTCCACTCTCCTGGTCTTTAGCGAGCTCCTCGGGATCAGCAGCCGCTTCACTGGGCCCTTCAACATCTTCAATGGCTTCTTCTACAAGAGAAGAAAACGAAAATGTCAGGGACGAAAAGTAGACAGAAGATGGAGGACTCTTGGCTGCTACTCCAAAGAAGTATCCACCATGAAACGCAGGCAGCCAACGACTGTCCCCCAGCCACACAGTGACCCCTGAGAGGCCGACCGCACTAAGGATGTGCACGGTCTGGGGTGCTGGTGGGAGCTTTCCTTCCCGCTCACTGGCAGGAGACTGCAACTTGGTCTAGACGTGCAGACACTCGGTATTCTGAGACGGATTCCAAATACCTCGTTTGAGCTTTTCTTATTGAAAAGCCAATCCTGTTGAGGAAATAACTCCAACTGAGTTCTGAAATCACATGCAAGTCTTTAACACTTGCAGATGCAAAAAGTGCCACAGGCTTGCTTCTTGCCTAGCTCTGACCACACTGAGAACTGGCATTGAACTAGACCTCACATAAGGCTTCGCGGTGCCTGAGCACCTGCCAGATTGTGGTGGGTTGTTGTTTATTTATTTTTTTTTTTACAGTCATGCATATTCTGAAGAGTCACAGAATATCAGTGATATGATTTCATCAGTGTGAGGAGGTCCAGGAAACAAACATCTATGGGTTCACCAGGCATCAGTGGCAAGAAGCTAGATCTGTAGAGAAAGGGAAACAATTCCTTATCCAAATCATCCACTCCCCGTTTGAAGTCATTCCATTCTCTACCCGCCACTGGCTTAAAACAAACCAAGGAAATTCTCTCCAGCTCAACACACACTACTTTAGTGAAGGAAAAAGAATGGTGGTTTCCAACATGAGGTTAATCACAAAGTAAAATGCCACTTGCTTGCCGAAGTGGGGACAAAGAGGGTAAAACACTCTAGATGCTGAGGGAAAGAAAGTGGGGCATCTCTCATTTGTTCTCCTGGCCCTATGGACCATTATTTAAAACACTCAATAAGAACAGGCTAAATGCATAAATAAGGTGAGCAAACCAAAGTAGGTTGATGATGAAATCATTATAGACCTTGAAGAGCACACCTTCCTGGGTGTGGAGACACTGAAGCCCACGTCTGTCACCCAAGGCCATTGCTAGCTGAGATCCATGGGACTAAGGGTGTTGGCCCACGGACCTGGGGTTATTCTGACATCACCCTAAGTCTCTCTAGCCCCAAATCCACTTTTCAACATTTCAAGGTGTGACACTAACGACCCATCAGAAAATAGTGTCTGAATTTCATCTCATAAAAGGGAGTAAAAAGAGTTCAAAGTAAACTGACCTCAGAGGATTTATCAAACACTTGAGGAAGAAAGTATCTATTTAGAGCCAGATTTTCCTAACTCTTCCCAAAAAGACAACGAAAGACCAAGAGCTGGAAGATGGAACTAGAGGTCGGGGAACATTTCTTCATTACCGCCGAGAGGGCATGTAAGAGTCAGTCATGGGGAACACGCATGAGAGGAGATACTGCTTGTTTTCCTCTTCAACTAAGAGGCTTCTGCAAATAATTTCTATGTCACCTTTCTATCTCACTGCACAGTCAAGTTAACATCAAGTCTTCCCACGCCCACCCCTAGTTCAAACAAAGAAAAAGCATGCAACCATGGTTTGAAGTCAGTCAGATATACAGCACCATATTAACACGCTACAGCCTTTAGTGGAGGAAAAAAATACAAAGTGTTAGCAGTAATAAACAAGTTACACAGTATGCTATAGATGCCCTCTTAATTCAGACCAAATAGTCAATGCATATTTTTGGCTTTTGATTAAATTGTTCAGCACTATAATTATAAAATCCATCTCTGAAAGGTGATACCAGCATTCAGTCGATCAGAATTAAGTTGGGTCTACCCAAAGTAGCTACTAGTCTCTTAAAATATACTCATTTGCCCAAATACAGCCTGTGATACAAAATATCTGCAAGTACCCATACATTCATCAAATGCGATTATGCAAAGAGATGGCCCCTCCTCTCTAGGACACACACACCACCCCAGGTGGAGTGAGTCTGACACCTACACACAGGAGACACCCCGATGTGATGAGCAGTGTTGGAAGGTGCTGCTCTGCAGAGGTGGGAAGGAACTTAGCCACTGGGAGGCCAGCTCCAAGGCCGGCACCTCTCTCCTGTGTACTATGTGGGCTGAGCCATCCAAGCAGAGAGTTAAGAACTCACGGTCACTCTGGCACTGACCCCAGTTCTTTGAACCTTTTCAAACAAATCCATCCAGAGACAGACTGAAGAATAAGCACGTCTTTCATGCAACAAGCAAGGAAACCACATGGTGCTTTGTGACTGTTCCCAGGCCCTTGTTCTATGAGCCTGCTTGGGTCTCTGCTTTCTTCCCTCCCTGCCCTGCTAAGCGTGGAAAAGCGACAGTGACCAAGCTCCAGGGAGAGGGTGAAGGACCAAGGTTGAATCAGGAATTTCTTCTGCATCTTTTTCTTCTTAAAGAGTTAAAAATCAAGTCCTCTTCTCTTGAAAGGGATTTCTTAGTGGCTCAGACGGTAAAGAGGCTGCCTGCAATGCAGGAGACCTGGGTTCGATCTCTGGGTCAGGAAGATCCCCTGGAGAAGGAAAGGGCAACCCACTCCAGTATTCCTGCCTGGAAAATTCCACAGACAGTCCACAGACTCCCCCTGGCAGTCCATGGGATCGCAGAGTCAGACACGACTGAGTGACTTCACTTTCACTTTCCTCTTCTGAGTGTTTAGATTTAATATTATCATTTCTGGTATGTTAAACACCCAAAATCTGTTGTATGCTTTGTAGAAGAAGAAATCATTAAGAAACTCCGGGACAAGCCAGTGTGGCAGTGGGGCAGACCAGTGTCCTCACCCCCAGCTAGAAAACCAGGTCCCATTCAGCCCGGTAGGCGCTTCCCTGTAGTTCCGCGTGTGACCTACAGGTGTCGCCCTCTGCAAGGCGAGCCCTGGAAGGGCAGCAAGCTGCAGGAGGCAGACACTGTCTGGGCCGCCTAACCTGAGCATGTGGAAATAATATATGTCTTCAAGTGAACTGTCTGGTCCTGGGGAAATAAAATAGGACATTCATAAGCAGTTACACCATCTGTCTTTATACCATCATCATCAACAGCAAGAGGAAAAATAGCTCTTTAAAATGGATGAAAGCCCAGGCTGACAGTAACCAGAAAACTGTGAGCTCTGAATACCAATAAAGGTAGAGATATGATTGAAAAACAGAGATGTAAACTATGAATTCGTCTGGACAGCTCGGCCCACAGTGCTGTGCAGACAGGGTCTGTTCTGTTGGTCCCCGAAGTCTCCAGCATCGTCACTAAGAGCGGGCCTTGGGCGCCCACGGGCAGGGCCTGGGGCTCCGTGCGCTGGGAGCACGTGGGAGCCAGGGGCAGGATGGCGTCCAGCTCTGAGTCCCTGGGCTGGCCAGGTAGCCACGCTCCCTTTAGGAATGTGTGTTTGATACTCACGTGCTCATAGAGCACAGAGCAGAGGGGAGGTGTTCATGGAACGCATTTCTCGCCCACAGTTAAGTCAGTGGCAACTGGCCGGGGTCATTACAGAAGTTGTCCCCCCGCCGGTAATGTCAGCTTCTGACAGATGGTGGGAACAAGCAAAGACCTGACGGATGAAGATCTGGTTTTATCTGGAAAATCCTGTCTTTCTCTCAGAAGACAAAGTTACTTTTCTTCCCCAAGAAACACCACAGCCACTGTGCCATTTTTAAGGCAAAAAAAAAAAAAAAAAGACAAATCAAAACCATCTTCTCCCCAAAGAGTTGAACGCTATTTCAGAACCCAACCAGAACACACCAGGAATGCTTTCTCAGGGGCACAGCCAGGGCCTGGTTGAGGAGGTCATCTCTGCCCCCCCGTGCCTGGCCTGTTCCAGCCACAGCAGCAGGCCCTGCACGTTCTCAGACAGATGGGATGGTCTGTTGCTCACAAGCCTCCAGAGGCCGTGCCTCCAAACCCCTTGCAGACACCCACCCTCCTGTATACACTCCACAGCAGCCCTCAGACCAGAGCACCCCTCCTGTTAAAAGGTTCAGGGAAACAGAAGCAAATCTCCAATGAATTTTCCCTTCCATCTTCAGTTTCCACATAAAACACTGGGAAGGCCTTTCAAAAACCTATTTCCATCACTACCTCTTTGTACAACTGCTTCTCCCAGACAGCACTCACTCATGTCTTCTGGTTAAGGGCAGAGCCCTCAGGTATGAGGGTTTCAGCAAATGTTGTTTAGTCACTCAGTCATGTCCAGCTCTTTGCGACCCCATGGACTGCAGCCTGCCAGGCTCCTCTGTCCATGGGATTCTTCAGGCAAGAACACTGAAGTGGGTTGCCATTTCCTTCTCCAAGGGATCTTTCCAACACAGGGATTGAACCCTAGTTGCCTGCATTACAGGCAGATTCTTTACCGCTGAGCCACCAGGGAAGCCCCGTTTCAGCAGATAATACATTCTAAAAGGGAAGGGTTCCAAGGGCAGCATAGATTTTAGCGGGGTGCGGGGGGGGGGGGGGCGGTGATGATACCACAGCTCCAGAAAACATCCCTTCAATTAAGGTGGCTTTCTTGCCACAAATGCACACTGTTCTCTCAACACACCTTACACTCATCACGTTAGTGAGGATGACTGTACGATTTCCCGATTTGTGGTAACATCTGCTTCTGAAGGAAGTGCATGTGCCAACTAGCAACCCCATGTGGATTCACAGTGATTTTATGAACCACTTGGAAACTGGTTTGTGGAAGAAGCACGAGGCTGAAGCAAAAACAGAGGTGGCATCAGTACGAAGTCAGCACCTGCCACCATGCGCTGAGCGTGTCACCCAAGACACGCCCTTTGCTGAAAAAGGACACTGTTCACCAAATAACTAGGGCCAAGGGGAATATTTTACAAATCACAGGCTTGAAGGAAGGGGAGTCCATCAACACCTGAGACTAGTCCTAATTGTTCCTGACTCTCTGACAGGATAACGTGGACTAAGTCAAAGTGAAAGTCGCTCAGTCGTGTCTGACTCTTTGCAACCCTATGAACTATACAGTCC